CCGTTATGTTTCCCAGAGTGCCTTGAATCCGTCTGATGAACAGTGTAATACTTTGTGGCCCTTCCACGGCTGAGGGCTCTGTGTAGTTATTCTCAGTTAATGATTCAGGAGCAAACTGTACAATTCCATTGGGATCACCAAACTTCTGTATCTGTAAAAAAATAAACAAACAAAAAATCAGAAATGTAGGGCGAGTCATATTCTTATTCAAATCATTGTGATTTTCATGGCTAGGTACTACAGGGCACATATCTATTGGCTCATCCTACCAAGTTTTCTCCTCTTAAAGGGATTCAACAGTGCATTAGTAGTTAAAACTGAGACTGAGAGAATAAAAAAAAAAACCCACCAGCAGACAGGACCATCAATGTACGAGAAGGGAGTGATAGCAAGCTCATGGGCACACACACGCAAACATACTCATGGACACAAAGCAGGACTTACATGAAATCTATGGGTAACCTGCTCTTTTGTGAGAAAATCCTACAATGATACATAAATAAGTTTAAGCAGGATCTAAACTGAATAGGAGTCAAAATATAATGTTGCAAATAAATAAGGAAAGTTTTCAGGCTTGGATTAATAAAAGCCTTAAATGTAACCAAATTCAGGCAATGACAATGATCCTGTCTGCTGACTTGAGCCTCACAGCTTTAAACAACCTGTGAATTATAAATGGTCTAAACACACCTCAGAGTAAAGTAATTTTAAAAGGATTTGGAAAACATCTCTCATGGATATAAATACTAAGGGACGGCACAGAAGGTATGAATGTCCCCTTTTCGGATTTTCAGCACTACACAATTCCTCTTCCAAAAAGGACAGTTTTATTTCAAATGCTCTATCTGAATATTCTGCTGTTAAAGGAGGAAATGCTCAGGCACCTTGGGCTAGTGTACAGAAACTCTCCTAACATTACCAGTGTGCAAACTCAGCCCTCTGAGATAGAGCTCATCCACATCCATCTGTGTGAATCGCTAGCTGCAACAAGAACTCATGGAGAACCTACTTACAACTGAGTTGTAACACCAGTGCCTACTGAGAAGCCAATTATCTGGTGTGCAGGGTGGAACACTCCAGTCCAAGGAATAAACCTGGGTCCCTGAAGGAGAAATTGAGGAGTCTGTGGAAATAGGAGCTAATTCCATCAACACAGACCAGGAAAATAATAAAAATCCAGTTTCAGGGAAAGATTTTTTTTTTGTTCCCAGGCTTCTTAGAACAACCTTATAAATATTTCCTTAGTTGCAGTCTCCCTAGAGGAATAATTTGTCTTTGACAATTCTCCCTGCCTTCTCCCACCAATTTATGCATTTCTCTTGCTCTGCAATAGCCAGATTCTCTCCTTTCCTTTATATGTGATAGCTGGAACAGAAGAAGAGGTCAAGAAGAGATGAACAACAAACTGACATTTAGAAATGAGGACGCAATCTATGCTTTCTCCGAAGAGAATGACAGAAATTTGCAAATAAGCATCTCAGGTCAGGGCTTATATAGCAATTTTTACTGACAGATTCTTTGCCTTCTTTTTTAAGAACTGAAGCTCTAACAATGCACCTAAGTAGTACAAGGGACAAAAAAAGCCAAATTTCAAACTACGCAGTACGTTTTAATTTTTAAAAGCTTTGCAAGATAAATACCAATATCAACAGAGATCTCGGAAGAAAGAAAAGCAATAATAACTTACTATTAGTGTAATGTTGTTTGCCTTAGGATCTATTTCTGTTTCACCTTTCATAAGGCTCAGTCTAATAATGAAGATCTCCTGAACTTCAACTTCTTCATGAGGATGGATTTGTAGATTAATAGCTCTCTGACCGCCTTCTCCTTCTCCAAAATAGAACAATCCATTCACAGGGTCGCCAATGTCACTATTCAGGGGAGATAAAACCTCTTCTGAATTGGGTCCCAAGATGTCCCAATTAATCTGTGGAAGATACCAGTTTCAGATTTAGAGTAGTGGTATATTATAATAGCCTCCCAATGGGGAGAAATGACAGAGTACCACAAGTGACATAAAAATTCTTGTGTCTCTTAACTAACTATGTTTAAATCTTTGCTGTTAATACAGAATACAAAATATTCATAATTCTATGTGGGAAAGTATATAATCCTTTGGTAAAATAAACATATGACAAATTACAAATGAAAATTCTGAAGTGTCAGTTAGCCACAATGCCAGTTTATGAAATTCTATATATTAGTAATAGAAAAGAAGAGAAACTGAGATTTCTTTAATGCATAACAGGAAACACGTGGGCCGGTTTCTATTTCTGTCCCTTTCATTATTTGTTTTGTGAAGCTCCCCAAATGAGTACTCATGACCAAAACCATTCCTTGTGAAGTGTGATATCAAGACAGAAAATGACAAATATTTTCTTAAGAGTCTGAAATAAAAGTTTTTAATCCCTCAAATGATGATTCACACATCTTCAGCCTGATTAAAAGCTAGAGTATTTTCAAAATTTCCCACAAATTAGATCGCCTTGAGGAGGTGACATTCAGCACTTCAAACTTATTATTTTGGCCATTTTAATTTTTTCCAGTTTTCTCAAATGACTTCTAGAAAAAATCAAAGACGACAAAGGCAGTTTTTATATGAGGGGAGGAAGACCTGACGGCTTTTACAGCCAACCTTCCAGTCATTTGCCAAGACTGTGAAAGGCCTACCTTGGTTCATATTTATACCTTCACTTTGTGAGTGGTCTGTACAGAGTAGAAGGAAACTTCATTGTAAACAATATACTGAGAAAAGTTTGACCAGCCTTAGGAAGCAATTCAAACGGATTAAATTAAACTACCAGTGGTGCATGAAATTAACCATAGTTTCAACAGAATTTGGAGCTAGTTCAAAACAAAGTACAGAAGATCATCATAAAAGAAAGCAAGCAGGAGGAGAAAGAGGAGATTAAAAGGGTAACAACATTTTCTGTTATACTGCAGCTACATGCAATTCACGTTTAATAAAAAGCTGCAATTATCCCATTAGAAATCAGTCACAAAGAAGCTCCTGAAGGAAAACGCAGGAGCTTTTTGACCTAGTCGCTGGAAAGCACTCAGTTTGTCACAGCCAAAGCCCACCTGTGCCTCCCCTAACAACCTTCCAGTCCTTTCCAGCACCAGGGACACTGTCGTGGGTGTATCCGGATTGGGAAGAATAACTCGGCTTTGGTTGAGAAATCGGACGATGCCCAGGGGGGAGTCGCTCTTAGCAATAGTGACCTGGCTCACTAGGTAGAGCCCAAGGACTGCTCCGCCAGTGGCTCCTGTCAGCTGCATTTCAAATTGCTCTGCAAATTCGCTGCGTGGAAAAAGAAAAACAGATTCTGAGGCATCCGAGAAAAAAAGTAATTAAAGCTATACTTAGTAATTCAATCATGCATCCAGCCAGATCTGTTTAAAGGTATACAGAAGTCAGCGCCGCAAGTATACAGTAGCAGATTCCTCCCATTTGCATAGAACGGTGATATCGGAAATAAAAATCATGTTCTATTTTCTACTCGTGTTAAATTTTTTTAAAAAGATGGCAAAGTATTTCATTATGCACTGAAATACTATTAACACCCAAAATTTCTAACAATGTAATTAAAAAAAAAGCATTAGTTTGCATAAAATTTAACAGGAACTATGAAACTCTAATAATAACTTCTTTTTTCCCCCCTTTAAAATCAGGTGATTTTTCAAGCACTGCAGACTTTTGGTTTTCAATTCCAATACTACATACAGGCATACTGTACATGCTAAGAAAACATTTCTCAGAAGTAAATTAGTGAATAAATATCTGAAAAATTAATTACCTTTCTTCATCATCTATAATAGAAATATAAATAAAAGTCTCGTTCTGGCCATGATAAAAAATGACAGAATTATTATGGATGACATAGTCAACACCATTGGGAAGTGCAGAAATACTTCGAGAAACAAAATCAGCTGTTACATAGCCGTAAGTTCCACGCTTTCTCACAACAGGAATCATGATTAATCCAGCATCTTCTTCCACTGCAAGAATAATGGAGAAAAAATATTTTATTTCAAAATTTATGCCGTAGCCACAGACTCATCTGCTAAACCACAGAGAAAACTTAAGCTAAACTTACCCTGTAGAAGGATATACTGTGGATCAAATTCTATGATGCCTTCTGCATTATCACTTTTTGCTATAGTGACTCGTACCATGGAGATATTTCCTATTATTGGAGGTTGATCCATCTGTAGACCGTTTTCTTTTACGGTAAAATCAAATCCACTTGCAAGAACATAAAAAAGAAAATTACATTAAAAATTCATGTGAAGGTATTAAGATGTAGGTATGACAGTCTGTCAATTACCACAAATACTTTTGTTTTCTGACAATTATCACTGAAGATTTTTTGGTCACACTTTTTCAAACTATTATATATGCAAAACTACTAGCTTATTCACAGAAATGGGTATCTTTCATTTTTTCTTCCACATCTTATCTTCCAATTTGAATTTAACGCAACTTGACAACTAGTATGTAATGTATGGACTTTTAGTTTTAATAAATCTTACTCAGTAAAATCTTTATACTAACGTTAAAAGAACTGAGTTCCTTGTATATCCAATTTCTATTATGATTATAGTTGCCTTACGAAATTTTACAGTAAAACAGCTGAAATCCAGTGGTTACTTCATGCAGGTACGTCAGATTCCAAATAGAGTTTGCTCTTCTGCTTGTAATCAATCATCTGGCAATTTTATCTTTACCTTCCTTGGAGCTCCACTTTGGTAATCATCATTGAAAAGTCTTCAGGACCTTCAGGAAAGTCATCATCATGAATTTCAACCAAAATCGTTTTACTCTCTTCATGTGGTTCAAACAACAATTCCCTTACTGTGGGAGTGAAATCAATTCCCTCCTCTGCAGTCCCATTTATTATCTGAAAGCAAAGACGGACTTTGCCATAGGATCCCCTGGAACGCACAATAGTGATGTTAACCTGAGGGAA